CTAAGGCTCTCGCTGCAACTTCGCCTGCTCGCTCTTATCCTCAGGAAGCCTAAACCGGCTGGGCTTTACTTTCCTCCTCGTGTGCAGCTGTGTCGTCGCGACTTCGCCACCATGTTCGAGGCGCGCCTGGTCCAAGGCTCCATCCTGAAGAAGGTGCTGGAGGCTCTCAAGGACCTCATCAACGAGGCCTGCTGGGATATCAGCTCGGGCGGCGTGAACCTACAGAGCATGGACTCGTCCCACGTCTCCCTGGTGCAGCTCACGCTGCGCTCTGAGGGCTTCGACACGTACCGCTGTGACCGCAACTTGGCCATGGGTGTGAATCTCACCAGGTGAGCGGGGCCTAGGGACTAGGCCCTGAGGCAGCCCCAGCCCCCTCTCTTGGCGGGAGCGCGCCGGGAGCTGTGCCCGGGTTAGCTGCCAAGGCCAGCTGCGCCTTCCCATTGGCTGTGACGCCGGGGGCGGGCCCAGTGGAACGCGCGGTTCCGAAAAGCCCGCGCTGGCAGCAGCGCGAACCGGCTCTTTCCGCGCCAAAGTCACCAAGCCGGCCGTGGCGGGAAAATGACCGGCTTCTCTGCGGTGTCCCCAAAAATCTCTTTCCGAGCTCTTTGCTCATTAAACTCCAGCAGGCCTGGGGGGAAAACCTTAGTTTTGGTTGACTTGAACCACCTTATAATATGTAGTAGTGACAATTTGTCACTGTCGTCTTATATAAAAACATGTGTCTGGGGTTTCTTACTCTATTTTTACATATCCTAAAGTTGCAGGAAAATTTACCCAGGGCAGGAGTTTTTAACTTTCTGATCATTGTCGATCTAGTACACGTGTATACATTTTTTTAAAGCTTAACGGAAAACATTAGTTAACCAGTGTACATGTATTTTAATAGGTTTACTAGATCATCTTGAAATATTTTTGTGGCGTGATTTACTTCACCCACGGAAGGACTTTGGAATTCAGAAAATACTGTTTTATTTCTCCAAAGAGATGAAATGCTTTTTATTCGTTCAGATGGTGGTAGGTGCCAGGTTGCATCCCAAATGGCTGGACCCATACTCACCTCTTCCAACGGTGTTTAGCCTGTCTCCCCTAACCAGTTCCTCCCAAATGCTAACTGCTTATTGCTTTGTAAGTCTAGATGTTAGGTAGAATAATGTTGATTTAAACCCCGTGTCTTCTGTGTTTTAGCATGTCCAAAATATTGAAATGCGCTGGCAATGAAGACATCATTACCCTAAGAGCTGAAGATAATGCAGACACTCTGGCACTAGTATTCGAAGCACCAAGTAAGTTGCACCCTATTACTGAGTTAGTGTGAGGCTGAACCAGGAGGATTTTAAGTTCAAGTTCAGGCTGTGCAATGTAGTGATATAATGAGACTGCCACAAATTTTTCTCCCTGCTCCCATTTGTTTGGAGGCAAGATCTCCCACTATATATTGAGCCTGGCTTTGAAGTCATTGTGTAGGTCAAGTTGGTGATCCAACAGCCTCAGCCTCTCAAGTGTTGGTTTTACAGGTTATGGTTGCTTGTGATGGTTGTAAAATTTACATTGTTATGAATACATGCCTTTCTTTAATATCATTTGCTTTCATTTGGTAGATCAGGAGAAAGTATCCGATTATGAAATGAAGTTAATGGATTTGGATGTTGAACAACTTGGAATTCCAGTGAGTATATTTCTGATTATAGAGGATACCATACAGTGTCATGGTTTAATTCTGAAACAGAGCTCAAACTACCAACGCATAGGAATTTTGAGAGTATTTCATCACATCTACTTTATATTAACATTTTCCAAAAAAATTAGATACTTTGCTATTGGTTGATCACACACTTGCAGTTGTAGTTGAAAAAAAGTTTTGTTAGGAAATAGGCTTTAAGTCATGTTACCATATCTTACGTGGTGCATGTTCCAAAATCACCCAAGTTACCTAGACTGAGATGATGGATTTGTCACTTTTCTGAAGCACAGTAGTCTAAAATTTAAAATTCATCATTTGTTGAATTCATTGTGTTGCCACATACTTAAATTACTTACGGATTTGTTTTTTTCCTAGAGTGCTTGGTTTCTGTTAGATATTAAGCATATCTTAGAAATGTGTTAAGGACCTGGAGTTAGTCAGCAACGGTAGGAGGCTGGCTGTTTTTTTGCTCCTGGGTGGTGGAATGTGTAAACCAACGAATTTTGTTTTTAGGAGCAAGAATACAGTTGTGTGGTAAAGATGCCTTCTGGTGAGTTTGCACGTATATGCCGAGACCTCAGTCACATCGGAGATGCTGTGGTGATATCATGTGCAAAAGATGGAGTGAAATTTTCTGCAAGTGGAGAACTTGGAAATGGAAACATTAAGTTGTCACAAACCAGCAACGTTGACAAAGAGGAAGAAGCTGTAAGCAGTAAAATCAAATTTTAAATTTGTGTTTAAATAGAAACTACCTTGAAAACAAATACTATCTAGTACTAGGATATTTGGTTAAAGAAAACCAGATAAAATAGTGAAATTTGAAAAACATTGTTAATCTGTGAGCAATTTATAGTTGCCTTCCAATTTAGTACTATGTCAGAAAAGAATCCAAACTCAGCACTTATTTTACAAACCTCAGCACCATGAATTTGTGGATTAAATCCATACATGCTCTGAGGGTAGGATTGCCTGATTTTTAGCTTTATGGAAATAACTTCTGCTTTTGCCAAATAAGTGAGAGCAGGATAGCAGCTTGGAAGGGATAAGGGTAAAATTCTAACTTACAAATTTTCATGTACATTCTTTTAATTGAAGTAAAAGAGTCACTGAAATTCTCCAGTCTGAATTTTGCTATTATATAGGTATGTGTTAATTGGCATCTTCTGCCTTACATGTTCTGTAAACTGGCAGTCACAACTCGATAGGTTTGATGATGTTTGAGGTGTGGGAGAGCAAGAGTACTAGATGGGTGGTGGTATGTACCTCTGTTAGATACAAGGTGTGTGGATGTTTTTACGTTAGTAGTCATAATAGTTTCCTAGATCCAGAGCTTTCCCAGGTTGCATAATTTCATTGTCTGTTGATACAGGAAGACAGGTCAAGTAGTACTTGGGCATTATCAGTCTTCAAAAATTAATTTCATTACCCCCTCAAGTTTTAGGTAATGTATATTAACTAATGGATTGGAACTTTGTTTTTCAAATGCAATTAATCTTTTTTCTCTAATAGGTTACCATAGAGATGAATGAGCCTGTTCAGCTAACTTTTGCACTGAGGTACCTAAACTTCTTTACAAAAGCAACTCCACTCTCTCCTACAGTAACACTCAGCATGTCTGCAGATGTACCCCTTGGTAAGATAATACATTGGAACCTTGTTTTGTTGGCCATGTATGTAATGCTCTTCAGTAACTGACTTCCTGTTTTTCAGTTGTAGAGTATAAAATTTCTGATATGGGACATTTGAAGTACTATTTGGCTCCCAAGATTGAGGATGAAGAAGGATCTTAGGCATTCTTAAAATTCAAGAAAGAAAAACTCAGCTATTCAAGAACTGCTTCTGAGATGCCAACGTGTACTGAAGTCTTTTCTATTACCAAATTTGTACCTGAGTACATATGTAGATAATTGTTTTCTGTAAATAACCTTTTTTCCCCCTCTATTCTCTATACTTGTTTAAAAAGGTCCAGAGTTAAATCTGTTGTTAACCTAGAAATTACTGCCTTACTTAAATACTCCTAGTGATCTTTATAATAAAAGGGCTTGACTATTTTTCAATTTAAATAAAGTTATTTGAACTTAAAATGTCACAGGACAATGCCTTCATTTGGACTTCGGCAAAATGCCTTACTAAATTCTTGGTAAAACCTACACGTTCATGTAAAAGCAATTATTTTTTCAGTTTAGCATAAATCCATTTATGGAGATAGGTATTTTAAGTACAAGTGACCAGAATTTATTTAACCTGAACTCAAACAAATGATAGAGTAGAATAAATCCTGTTATTTTCATCATTTTTGTCAGTTTAGCAAAAATTCACTTTCTAGAAGCTTGACATCTCAAGGCTTATATTGTTACAGGGCACTGCTTTTTTTTATGTATAAGAGAGGCTTGGAAGCTTTAGTGTATCTGCCCTGGGCCTGAGGAAGTTTCTAACTGTAAAAATCCCCTCAGTGTCTTTGATTAAAGTTTCACTCCCTTAAAGATGTATATAAATCCTGTGGATGTTGGATCCAACCTAGAAAGTGAAAAGCCTCTGCAGTTTTGAAGAAACTGCTTTAAAACATTCAGGGACTGCTGCAAGGTTACTGGGGTGCCACATGTTGTCACTATCGTTTTTTCCAGCATATTTTGCTTTGTGTATTAAGTGACTAGTGCCTTTGTTACAATAGTGCTTAGGACTGACTTCCTTGTACCCAGTAGTCACTGTTCATTACTGTGCCATTGATTTGGGGAGTGGTGGACTGCAAGGATGCCTAAATGGGTTTGTCACAGCTGCAGGACTGCATTTGTCAGTATTCAAGTATTTTTATGGTATACAAACTACCTTAATAAATGACCTTTTCAACAAGCTTCGTGTGCTGAAAAATGTCCCTTGCGGGCATGTAAATCTGGACGAAGCCTCTAAAGAGTGTTGTATCCACTGCACAGCCAGCGGTGTGTCTCCGTGTAACGCTAGGTAGTCTGAGCTGTAGAATGCATGACTTGGCAGCTCTGGCGCCCAACTTCACCATTGGGCATCTGCCTCGCTCTATGTTGCCCGGAGGGCATCGTGTAGGAACCACGCAATAGATTTGCCCGGGGTCCGATTATGACCCAGATGGGCGGAGATGTTGGCATGCTTGCTGCAGTGTAGGCCAGTGCCAGGCTCCGACTGCAGGGTCCCTCAAGTCACGGGGCGGGGTAGGGGAGATGCCGGGACAAACGCTAACTCAAAGGAGTTTGCAACCCTTCAGAAGGCTAGCCCAGAACATGCCCCGCAGCGCCGCGCGGACGTCGCTCCCTGTGACGCCACTTCCGGCGCTTCCTCAGTCCGCCACTTCCGGCGCGCGCTTCAGCTTCCTAGAGGGCCTGGTGGCAGTTAGACTGACGGTGCCATGCGGCATTCGTCCGCTCTACAGTTCCCCGCGGCTGAGGTCCCTGCGCGTGGGCGGCGCGGTGCGGTCCTCCGGTGAGGCGTGCAGGCAGCGGACGGGGCCGGCGCGCCCTCCTCGAGCCTGTGCTCTGCCGACGGCGACCTCACGGCCTGCGGCTGCAGCCTGTACGCTCTTGGCCTCTCTCCAGAATCAGTTTTGTTTGTTTTACGCCTGAATTCCCGTCGGCTCTTGTTTCTCTCTGTTGCAACGTCTGCAGGCTGTCAGGAAAGTAGCGTATGTAGAAGGGCGAGGCGCAGTGCCAGGCACCTTACTGAGCTTTTATAATTCTTCTAACACTCGGATGCGGAAAGATTTTGGGATTGTATGGGGGCTGTTGAAAAGCCGGTTGGAATCTTGAACTGATTCTTTAAAAATACTATTGCATGACTTTCGTTTTCCGTTTTAGAATTCTTTCTCTCTGCCAAGTGTAAGCGTACAACTTCCCATTCCCTTGTGTCCTACATTTTTTTGTTTTGGTGTGAGTGTATGAACTAATGGCAAAGTATGTACATAATCTTTCTAGATTGCACGCTAATGCAAATCAAGTGTGATTAAATACCCTGAAAATTCCCATGCATTGGTAGTTTGAATTTTGTTACCAGAACTGAGCTTAATTGTGTGGTTGCGTCACTTCTAAAAACCGAGTACTTACACGATTTAACTAACCTTTTTAGAAAAGTGTATGGGTGAGCATTATTTTTATTTTTTCAAAGTAATCGATAAAAAGGGAGAGAAACATTTAACGCTACTTCATTCGTGATGCTAATTGAGATCATCTGTACAGTTGTTAATTTTTGTTAAGTATAAAGCACTTAGAACAGCGCCTGGCACTTAACCAACACTTTCCTTTGTTCACGTAAGTTTGTAATTATGAAAGAAACGAATACAAATTTCATATTTTTGAAATTGAAGTCCCATGGTTTTAACATCCTGCATACTGTCAAACAGGATAAAATAGCCATGGTTTCATTGCTGCTACTTTGTGTATTCTGAACAATGAGCCAGATTTTTTTTCTTTTGGCAACATGGGGCTGTGATCCATTACCTTGAGTTTAATGATGAGCAAGCACTGTACCACCAAACTGCATCTGTGGTGAAAAATGTCAGATTCCCATCAGATTTTTATTCAACTTTTTTAGGTAGCTATGTGATGATCTGGAAAAGAGCACTCACTATTTTCTTGACGTGGGGTGAGCCAGAGAGGTATCTGAAGGCGCTGGTATGTGCTGATAGCCAGTAGGTGATTTTTTGTGTGTGTGCCAGGAATCAAACTCATGACCTCAAACTTACCAGGCAGGCGCTTAAGCCACTGAGCTAAATCCCCAGCCCCTAGTAGGTGATCTTAATTTAGAAGCTTTATGCTAAAAAAAAAAAAAAGGCAATATGCTGGTGTGAATGTAATCTCTTCTCTGTCCTCTAGTCCCTCTCTGGCAAATCAGAGAATCACTTGAACATTGGACATGTGTTTCTCAATGTGGAGGGGGGACAGGCCATGAGGTAACTAAAAAATGTGGACTTCCATGTCAGGTGCACCTGGGTTTAAGTCCCCACTCTCCCACCTACTCTATGTATGACTTCGGAAAAATTAGCAAGCAGGGAATGGCAGTGGCAGAGGACACTGTAGTCTGGTTCTTAGTGAATGTCCTGGCTGTCACCGTAAGTGGACAGACTAGGGTAGGCCCATAGTAAGGATGCTTTCACTGTCAGAAATACCAGGTTTTAAGAGCATTGAGGTCTAAATTGCAAGTTCTAGTCTAGCATGTTGGTTCAGAACTCCAGTGCATGATATCTGAAGTCACTGGCAATAATGTATTACTGTCACCTCTAGACAATTAACAACTTTTTGTTTTAGACTGTAGCTGTGTCAGCGTGTTATGATGCCATCCCGTACCAACCTGGCTACTGGAATCCCCAGTAGTAAAGTAAAATACTCAAGGCTCTCCAGCACAGACGATGGCTACATTGACCTGCAGGTAAATGCGGAAGGGAGGGGACAGGCTGACTGGCTGTGTTTCTGTTGAGCTAGAGAAGAGCTAAGTGGAGGTTTTACTGGCCTGGGATTAGAGGGAGCTGCAGGAAGTAAGCTCATCTCTGAGAAAGGGACAGCAGTACCTCAGTTTCAGTTTGTAAACATTTTTAATGCCCTGTAGTTTCAAGTTTTAAGTCTATCCATAAAATAAATACTTTTTTTTATTGGTACCAGGAATCGAACTCATGACCTTGTCTTGCCAGGCAGGTACTTATGCCACTGAGCTATATCCCCAACCCACTTTGTTTTAGGTGAAATTATTATTTTTTTTTTTGTCTTTTTCCTTTTTATCGGTACCAGGGATCGAACTCACGACTGCCTGCTTATAAGGCAGGCGCTTATGCCACTGAGCTAAATCCCCAGCCCCATAGGTGAAATTATTTTAAGGACTGTGTTTATTTGTACTTTAGTCAAAGCCAGTTCATCTTTTAAGGGAGAAACTAACAGCTAAAGTCAGCAGACTGTGGGAATCTTCTTTGCTGATGTCACGAGATCTAATTTATTAAAGATATTTTTGTGACAAACAATAAATAAATAATAAAGAATATTAAGTTTGTACCCTATCTTGGCCATTATAAAGTACTGTAGTACCATAGCATTTCCTTTTACTTGTTCGCCTTAGCAAAGAATATTCTAGCTAAGACGAGCTAGGGATAAAATCATAGAAACCCATAATTTTAAATGTAAATAAATCGATTCTCTCTACTCTTTGGATGTGTACTTAAAGCAAAGATAAAAATAGATCTGGTAAGTTTCCAGCCAGTTAGGTCAGAGTCAACCATGAACCTTAACCATAGCAAATTTGTGCTCGGCATGGTAGCTAGTGACTATAATCCCAGGAAGCTGAGGCAGAAGAATTGCCTGAGTTTGAGGCCAGCCTGGGCTGCTTGATGAGTTCAAAGGCCAGGCTGGAATATATAGCAAGACCCTTTCAATAAAAAGTGTCTCAGGTGGGAATTTAGCTCAGCAGCATAAGCACCTGCTTGGCAAGCATGAGGTAATGAGTTTGGACCCCAGTACCAAAAAAAAAGTGTCTCTTATCCTTGAATCGAACTTGTTCATAAGACAGTGCTTTAGAAAACAAAAAACGAAATTGTGGTTTTTAAAAGCTTTGACAGTGTGCTAAGTCCGAATCCCAGAAATCGCTTCACTTCTTTACTTCTTTGTGGGATGGTGTTTACTCTGAAATCCCCATAGGTCTGTAAATACATATAGTGACCAAGTGACCAAAAAAGTGCCTTGAAGTACAGGGTGTGGCTTGTAGAATGTTAGACCTGGGAAGAAAAGCACCCCATGAGGACTCCCTGGAGTGCCTGCTAGCATGTAGCGAGAGCTTCATCTACTGACTGGCCCCTGCCTTTCTCTCCTGGAGCTATGCTTGAAGCATCCAGGTTGGTTTTTAATTATCCTTCCTATCCAGGTCTTCACCCTATCATCATCATAATGTTCTTTGTCTTTCTTTTTTGTTTTTGTTTCTCTTACAGTTTAAGAAGAGCCCTCCAAAGATCCCTTACAAGGCCATTGCACTTGCTACTGTGCTGTTTTTGATTGGTGCCTTTCTTATTATTATAGGCTCCCTCCTGCTGTCGGGCTACATCAGCAAAGGGGTAAGATGGTGGCAATGTCTCATGAGAAATGGGAGCTAGAGTACTGTCATTTTTATATTCCATATAGTACACCAGATTGCAGCAGAGAGAAGAAAAAAGTATTTCTTGTATAGTTTATTCTTCGATAAAACATGTTTTGTTAGCTGGGCGTGGTAGCCCACACCTATCATCCAAGCAGACTGGGAGGCTGAGACAGGAAGCTCACAAACTCAAGTGCAGCCTAAGCAACTTAGCAAGACCCTATCTCAAAACAAAAAGAGCCAGGGGTAGTGGCGCACGACTGTAATCGCAGTAGTCAGAGGAGGCTGAGGCAGGAGGATCACCAGGAATTCAGACCAGCCTGAGTTATACAATAGTTCAAGGCCAGGTGGGACTACATAGCAAAAACCTGCCTCAAAAAACAAATAAACAAAACTTAAAAAAAAAAAGGTCTGTGTATGTGAGTCAGTTGGAAGACCCTGAGTTCAATCCCCAGTCCTACAAAAACGGACTTCAGAGGTGGGTGTCATCAGGTAGGCAGGCTTGGCCTTGAGCTACTGGGTGGTTTGTCTGCAGCCACAGTGTGGACTAGCAGAGTTGGCCCTGGACTCAGCACTTCCGTGTGGTCACAAAAAGAGAAAAGGAGCCAGTGTCAGACAGCTGTAGGCACTGGGTAGATTGTGGTGCGTGCATCTCATGGAATGTTGCCCTGCAGTTCAGACATATGGAGCATTTCTAGTCCTGGCAAGTGCTTGTTGTGAAGACTTTTTTTTTTCTTTTTTCTTCTTATCGGTACCGGGGATCGAACTTATGACCGCCTGCTTGCAAGGCAGGTGCTTATGCCGCTGAGCTAAATCCCCAGCCCCTTGTTGTGAAGACTTATAGGACACGGTGTGGCATCTTCACAACGGTGGACTTTGGAGAGGAAGCAGAAGGAAATAAGCCATTCTCAAAGAATGGATAATTTTCTCTTCAGTTTTTAGTATTTTAAAGTTTTCTGTCAGTCTGTAACCAGGAAGAAAATAGATGTAAACATTACCTTGGTACTGCACAACGCAAGAAAGATATTCAGGAAACTGTAAAATAGTGATCCATAGATTGGGCCTGTGGCTTTATTTTAAAATGTGTGAATTGCCCAGTTCTACTGTAACATTTTCCTTCTTTTGCCACCAGGGGGCAGACCGGGCCGTTCCAGTCCTGATCATTGGCATTCTAGTGTTCCTGCCAGGATTTTACCACCTGCGCATTGCCTACTACGCATCCAAAGGCTACCGCGGTTACTCCTACGATGACATTCCTGACTTCGATGACTAGCGCCTCAGCACTAAGAAGAGTCACGGTGGAGCTGCACCCAGCTTTTACAATACTGAGTGGAAACCATGGCTAAGGGCTGAGAAATTTTGTAGATGTTTGACAACTCAGTGGCCAGATTTTATGAGCCCATCCTGAAAATGTTCACTGAGCTTACAATTAGCTAATTAGGACATGCTCTCGTTGTCATCTCCTGGCCCTGGCAAAAGCTCAAGTTTTTCCATATGAATTGGTAGCAGGAAAGAATAGCATTGTTAATTATCTTGAAAAGCAGGAGGTGAATCTGTGGGGAAAGTGGTAGTGGTGCCACTACTATCCTCTTTAGAGCTGAGGATTTCTTTTAAACGGTCTTTATTGTCAGTTTGTCTTACAGCAAATGGAAATATGCAATATGTCTAATTTCCTTTACTAAGTCAATTTTAAAATGTTTCAGTACCTTCCCCCTGTGTATATCTCTGCACCTTTGTGTTTTATGGGAGATTGGGGTAAAATCAAGCATCAGTGTGGGACCTCCTGTAATATTTTTTACTTGCTTTGTTATTGACAGCAACCAGGATTTTTTTTTACACATAGAGTGAGTTTTCAAAATACAGACATTGTCTCTGACAACCAGTCTTTGGCCAGCTCTGATCTAGTTTACCCATAGGATTGCCAGCAGATTATTTGGGTCATTTTGTCCTTTGTAAGTCAAGATGTTCTATATGTCACTCCTTGAAGGACTGGACTGTGGGTAAGTTGTGCAGGATTTATAACTCAATTCCAGTATCCTGATAAAGGCTGCAAGACTAGATTGCTCTCTGGAAGCCTAGATTGCCTTAGGTTGATTCTGTTTCCTTACTCAAAAAAAGGGATGCATATTCAAAAGAAATTAAAAGGTCAAAACCCAAATCCAAGACTTAAACTCAGTTTACTTTAAGCAGAGTTCAGAAAGCATTGTATGATTATAGGTGTCTGACCCAGGACGACCCATGTGTTTAGGGAACTGCCATCATTAAGTCACATCCTACTTTCCGAACCTTTTCTGTTTTTTGAGACTGTCTCTCTGTATAGTTCAGGTGAGGCTCAATCCTCCTGCCTCAGCCTTTGGAGAAGTCCAGAGTCAGGTTGATTCTCGGTAGTGGGTAGGATAACGTGAGGTTTGGTTTTGCAGGGCCTGGATCAATGCCTTTAGGGTCTGGGTCGGGTGGTAAGAAGTAGGGACCACAGTCCATTGGGAAGTGGATATTTTACCTAGAAGCAGCCTCCTCCCTTTTAAAACACTAGTTCTGGCAGTACCCTCACTGCTTGTAACCGTAGTTACGCTTCTTAGTCGCTCTGAACACTGAAAGGCCCCCTGACTGCTGCAGCGGTGCACCATGGGGACTCCAGATCTATTGCTGCAGCAGAGAGCTGTGCGCCAGTGCTGGGACCCAGACGCCAGCTGCTAGGAGCAGGAGCCAAGGCTGTCAGCCCATTGCCCCCTGTTGGCCTGTGGTTCAGAGATGAGAGTCCCGTGATCTTGGCTTCTGAATTCTCTTGAAAACCACATGGTTGTTCATTACTGAGAGACCCTGGTGGCTGAAGGAACGTGACAAGATCCACTTCAGCAGGGTAGGACGCCTTGGTTCCCACAGCCCAGCACTCCTTCATTACTTTATACCCAATCTGCAAGCATTGCCAGAGGCAAAACCAGCTTCCTGCCTCCCCGAAAGTGCAGCCCTGCTTGAAGGCCAGACCCGTGAGGACATGGTGTCCCTTTCCAGTACAGGCAGGCAGGCAGGCCAGTTCTGTTGAATTCTGACTCCTAAAGTGGCCCTGTGCCAGCTGGCCTATGTGCTTGAAGTAGCATGACCTGTGGGGGTGGGCCCTGCTGGCATGTTCCTCACAGTCTACACAGGAGCCGGTATAGGTAGCCTCCCGCCAGGGGGGACCCAGGAGAGAGAACAGCCACGATGACTTTCTGCTGACCTTTGAAGGTGTGAGTCCAGGTCAGCGGACTTTGGGTGCCTTGTCTATCAAGCGATTTCTTTCGACTGGGTCCTGCAGGCTTGTGACTTAGTCACAGTTCAGGTTGTGGTCAGAGGGCACAACCTGACCTCAGTAACCCGAGGGTTGACATGTTATCTCAGGAGCTTCCGTTCCAGCCTTGGGGTAACGCTGTGGCCCAGTGAGGACGGCACCGAGTGCACCCTCAGTAAAAGTGGCTGCTTGGGGGTTGGGGACGCCTTTGGTTTCAAGGCGCAGAGCCCTTGTGCTGCCCCTGGGGATGCATCCTCAAAGGACCAGGCAGGCAGTGCTTCCTCGTCTGCCACCAGGAGGTGTGGGGAAGCTGAGGGGCTGGACCTCAGTCGCTGTGCTCCTGTCCTTGGGGAAGCATAGGACACTGGCAGACCACTCTTGCTGTGGCACTGCCATGGGGGCATCAGACCTCCTCTCCTGGAGTTCTCACCTTTCTTCCTCTCCTTTTCACCTCCTCTCCCTCTGCATCCAACTCTGCCTTGCCCCTTACCGTTCAGAGGCTGTGGTCTAGATGGGCCGCATGGGTAACACCAAGGCACTTGGAAACGCAGTGTCCTGCGCCTGCCCCCTAAGTTAGCTTGTGTTGTGATGAGACCCCTGGGCTCTTTCTCTGGGTCAGATGAGCTGGCCGGGATGCCTTAGACCTCAGGTTCCTCACCTAGCACTGGGTCTCCTCAGACAGTGCCAGCGATGAGCAAGGAGGCACCAGGAGGCAATGGCTCCTTCTCAGTCTGTCAGTATTCTCTAGCAAAAGTGTAGCTCTGGGAGCCTAACAAATAGGATGGGCACAGGATATCGCAGAAAGGCTTCTGAAAGATCTTTTCACAAGTAGCGAGAAACCGAAACGGGCAGATCTTGGCAGGGTAGAGTGTACTTCAGTCCCCTGAGTCTGGGGGCTGCGTGGTGCAGCTTATGAGCCCGTGAAAAGCAAGACAGTTTTTCCTTAGGCTTCTCTGGACGGCAGGCCTGGTGGCTTACAGTCCACCCTCATTGCTGGGGGTGGGGGCTTCCCTTTCCCACCCTGATGTTTCCATGCTCTTATTCCTCACAGTAACATAAGACAAGCCAACCTGAAAACGCACGGTGTGAGGGGTGAGCTTTCTGGGCCAGGAGACTGATCCTTTGAGAGTGCTTTTCTCTATGATTTAGGGTCTGCAGGGCAGCCTGAGACTTCCACCCCCACACCCAGCAGAGCTGAGAAGAGCAGCTCCCTGGGCGGTGGTAGGCATCAGGAGAGGGGTGATCAGGAGGAGCCTCAGGCAAATCAGGCCACCAGCTCTTGGATCTGTTATCAGTGGTGCTAGATGAGGGAGGGACCCACAGCTTCAAGTGAGCTAGAATATTGCTGTGCCACCAAGCTATGTCTTCAGCCCCTGTAAGACTCCAGGCTTAGCTACAAAGGACTTGCTGAGAGCTCGGAAAGTCTCCCATTCTTGGGAATGTCAGGTTAATATTTCTGTTTTTGTTTGTAGCTATTTTAAATGGGATTTTGGCATAGTTTATTGTTAACACACAGAGGCACTACTGATTGTATATATTTTTTATATTTTTATTTCATTTGTTTTTTGGTCTTTTTGAGATAGGGTCTTGCTATACAGTTCAGGCTGGCCTTGAGCTCACTTTGTAACACAGGCTGGTCTCAAACTTGTAACAGTCCTCCTGCCTCAGCCTCTTGAGGGCTGGGATTACAGGTGTGCACCACCACACCCAAATAATGTATCCTACAAATGTATGGAAAGTATCTAGTTCTAATGTTGATGTGTGCGCATGTGTGTGCAGTCTTTCAGGTTTCCTAAGTATTGACAATTTTACTTCCTTTCCAAGTTGGATGCTTCTTATTTCTTTTCCTTATTTAATTGCTCTTAAGGCTAACTGGCAGCACTATGCTGAATAGGAGTGGAGAGAGGGGGAACGCTTGTCTTGCTCTGGGTCTTAGAAGAAAGCCTTTAACTTCCCATTGCATATGATGTTGGCTCCGGCTTGGCACATGTGCCCTGTATTGTGCTCAAGTACATTCCTTCTGTATCCAACTTGTTGAGTTTTGTTTGTTTTGTTTTTGTTGTTTGGCTTGCTGTTTTGTTTTCATTTCCTTTGTTTTTTGATACAAGATCCAACTATGTAATATAGTACAGGCTGGCCTCAAACTCACAGTGATCCTCTTGCCTCACCTTTCCAAATGCTGCAATTATAGGCATGTGCCACCTTGCCGGGCTCCCAGCTGAGAGTTTTTACCATGAAAAAATGTTGAGCTGTATCCAGTTCTTTTTTTTGCATCTATTGAGCTGCTCATACGGTTTTTGTCTTTTGCTCTGTCAATGTGGTGTATTAGTTTGTTGATTTCTTGTGTTGATCTGGCTGTTAGGAGATGCCAAAGGTTTGGGAAGTGAAGCCGCCAGGAGTCCAGAAGAGCATTGCGAGACTCCTGTCCCCTGTGAATGTTCCTCATGAGGATCTGATGAATCGCTATCCCAGAGTTTTGTATCTCCCCACCTCCAGCAAAGGGCAAGAAAGTCATCTCTCCAACAGTCTTATCTCATCAGACTGCCAATAAAAGAACTAATATTCAGTGTGCAGAGATTAGGGCTTTCCAATCTCATACCACAAAGGAGGCAAGCACTGTCTGAGTCACATTGGCTGTGGTCAGATTGGCCCTATACCTACAAAGCCCTGGATCACTGGGACTTGGAACTGGAGAGTACTTTGGGAACAAAATATATCTTTATTAAAACAACTTAAACATTAACCAAAGAAAGACCACAGAACTTTAAAGCAGCGCTGTCTTAATACAATTAAGATATGTATCTAATCGGTCATAACTTTAGCTTTGGTTTTATCTCCAGACTTGGATTTAAAAGTGCATATTCACCTTGAATCCTACCTTTAAACTTTCCTTGAAATATTTTCCGAGCACCCATTACAGACACAGCCATTTGTGAGTTGTCAAAAATAAATCGTCTCTGGGCTGGGGATATAGCTCAGCAGTGCAGCACCTGCCTAGCAATTGTGACATCCCAAATTTAATTCTCAGTACCAAATCATCATCATCACCATCCTCTTTGTCCATCCACAGACATTTCTAGCTTGCTTAAGTAGAACACGTGATCCATACTTGAACTGGCCTGACAATACAATCAGCAATACAGTAAATAAGTAGTTTAAAAGGTGTTACTGCAGTAAGTGAATTTGAGAGAAAATAAGGAGCAGCAGGGTTTGAACTGACCTCACGGCGCTGGATGGTGACAGGTGGGACAGGAGATGTGACAGGTCCCACTGATAAGTGGGTGCTGTGGTTCCGCATGGGCAGAGTTGGAAGCTGAGGTGGATAAGGAACACAGGACCAAGTCACGAGCTGTAAGAAATAAGAGACGATAGTGGTTTTCTAAATTTTTTTTTTTTTTTGTCTTGAGACAGGGTCTCCCTATGCAGTTTAGGCTGGCCTGGGGCTCACTGTGTAGCCCAGGCTGATCTCAAACTCAGCAATCCTCCTGCCTCAGCCTCCTAGGATTATAAGGCACCATGCCCAGCTTTCTTTCTAAATTTTGTTTAATTCTCTGAGAGTATTAGCGGTGCGTGTATTTTTGTTTCTTAAACCCTATATCCGGGGAATTAGTTGTCTGTCACAGAGACACCGAGTCTTCCTGATGTAACTTGGGTCTCCGCAGGACAGACATACTAACCGCTTCAGGTTTTCAGTGTTGGCCTTTCAGTTGACTTATTTATTTAGCTCTGCTCCTTGACTGTCCTCCATCAGGGACGCGTATCCTTCGCCCTCTGGTCCACGCAGCTGCGGTGTTTCAGTTGGTTGTTGGGGCGGCATCAGCGCCTCCGTGGCTGAGGGTGTACATCCTGTTCACAGCGAGGCCGGGAGGGAGGTTAGGACTGACTTTTCT